CCTCCGCACCCACGGCAGGGGGACGCCCACCCTCTCCTCCTCACGTCTCCACCCTCCGCAAGGCTGCTTCCCCACCGGAGCCCAGGCCCTGGGGTCTGCAGAAACTGTTCTCACGCTATGCCCTTTTCCTGCTTCTGCTGCAGGTGGGGCCTCCCACCCAGAGTAGACACAGAGCCACCCCGCACGGGGAGGGGCTGACGGCTTTAGGGGGGAAAGTCAGAATTCTGGATCTTGTAAATCCAGACGTCCTGTAAACTCTGACCAGAATGTAAACATCCCCGGGGACCGAGGGGAGGGTGCTCCTGGGGACAGGGCCCGGCGCCTCCATCTGCTGCAGGGACCGCTGTTTACTCCACGTCCCTGCAGGCGCCCTGGGGCTCCTTCCTGCCCCAGGTCTGGGGTGGCCAAGCCAGGCAGGGCAGCCCCACAAGGGGGCCTGAGGCCCTGGACGTCAGATTCTGATGTCTCAAGTCTAGAAGAGAACTTTGAAATCTCAAGAAGTCCAGCCCCTTCCTCTTCTGGAATCTCCCAGCTAGTCCTCTGGCCTCCGTGGAAACACCTCCGGGGACACGGAGAGCTCCCTGCCTTCCGGGCAGTCCATTCTGTTCCTGGGACTCTCTGGCAGTTAGAAAGTGCTAGAACTGAGCTGACTAGAATTGTTCTGCATCATCTGATTGGGCAGAGCTAAGAACAATGCATATGATAAGATAACAGCAGGGCCATTCTTTGAGCACCTGGCGTGTGCCAGGCACTTTCACTCATTATCTTGCTAATCCCCCCACCTCCCTCTCAGGGATGTAGGCTCAGGGAGGTTAGGTCACTTGCCCATGGTGACCCAGCTGCTGCCTCTCAGGGCTGGGGTTCAGGTCTCTCTGGTTCAAATTCTGTGCTTTAAATATTAGCCTGGACTGGTTGTTCCTAATCAAAATACAAAAATAGCACCTTCCCCAAGGGAAACACTGTGCCATGAACACAGGTACACACAAGACCAAACCAAATTCCAAAATCACAGAAACAAAAACGAAAAACCCAGCCCAAACTTGCCAAATATCAAGTTCCATTATGTGCCAGGCAAACGATGATTTTTCTGATTAATCCATTTTAATTACCCTTTGAGGAATCTTGAGGCCCAATAAAGATGGGGAAGGTAGACGTGGCCAACTAATAAAGGGAGGAACAAGTGTCCAAGCACAGTGCCTGAAGTCTGCAGTCTCTTCCCCACAGGAGCGGGACTTCTGCATAACACACAAAAACTTTCGCAATCATAATCATTATTTTCAACAACTAGAGCTTAAAAAAAAGTGGAATGCGCATCCTCAGAGAGAAACGGTATCCCTTGACTGGAAGTATCCAGCAAAGACACTTCAGAAAGTTTCCCACACTAGACGGGGCTGGGTGAGATATCCCCCCCCTCTGATGGCACATGGGTGGTGAGTGCCAAGGAGAGACTAGGTGCAGCGTGGAGTCCATCTGTGACCCAGAAACACAAACGTGGTGTTTTCGAGGCTGGATGCTGGGCGGAATGCCGAGGCCACCTAGTCGCCAGCGAACAAGACCACCTCTTCAAGCCCTACCCCAGCTCGACTTTCCTCTACTTGCCCCTGTGGGGAGGAGGCGCCGGTGCCTGGGCAGAGGGTCATGCTGACGGGGCGTCCCCTCTGCAGGTCCCAGGGGCCGCCCATTTATCCAGGCTTTTCCCTTTTTTGAGAACTGGGAGCTTGCTGGCTGGGGCTGCTTCCACCAACAATGTTCCCATCCAGGGAGCTTAAAATAGCCCCTCTTGGCTGGGGCTCTGGAGTGAGCAGTGAGGCAGGCATTTGTGCAAATATGGGCCTGGGAGAAGGACGCCTACCCGGGAGGGAGGGGAGGGAGGGGAGGGCCACACAGCAGGGGAGCCAGGACCTCCTGTGTGGGGGCTTCACCCTTCTGGCCACAGCCAGCGAAGGTGCCCGCTAGCCTCCTCCTGCTTCTCTGACATTACAGGGCCCACTTGGACAAGGTTTTACACCAAGTCTCTCAGGTCCTCCTGGCCTCGGTGAGGCTCTAGGGTGGGCCCACTGGAAATAGGGACATCTGCCTTCCTCTGCTGTTCTAGCCTTGTTCCCACCTCCCACCCTTCTTACCTAGGAGGAAGCATCCTTGAAGGCCTATCTCAAAACTTGTTTTAACAATAGGAATGACAACTGCAGCTACCACTCATTGAGCACTTACTGTTGCCGACGCGCATTATCTCATTTGATCCTCGCCACTATCCGCTGACAGCCAGGTTATTATAATCCTCACTGTGCAGAAGAAACGAAGCCTCAGAGAAGTCAAGTAACTTTCCCAAGGTCACACAGCTGTGCAGGGGCAGGGGCAGGACCGAAACTCAGGTCTGCCAGCCTGTGGAGCCTGACCTCTTACCCCCTGGGCTGCACCTGCCCCCCCGGGTGCCCACTGCTCCGGCCTCCCACTCTCCATCCCAGCATCACCACCCTGTGTTCCAGCTGGTGCCACTCAATGTATCAGATATTTGGTGAAGGTCAACCACGTGCCAGGAAAGCTGCCGGGTGCCATACCCACGGCCTGGGCGCTCTCAGATAACCCCCCCCGAGGACTCTAGCATGGGCTTGGGCTTAGTGAGCTTCAGGGTCCAGGTTGGGGACAGCAGGGTGATGCTGAGGCCATCCCTGACCCTCCTTGATGGCCAGCTGACCAGCTGGACCTCCCCCCACCCTGGCTGAGCTGCCCCTCCTCACCCCACACAGGGAGCAGCGTGTGCAGGAGTCAGACGAACCCGCTTTAAGTCCTTTGTGACTTTGGGCAAGTGACTGAGTGCTCCCAGCCTCAGTTTCCTCATCTGTAAATTCAGGATAAAACTAGGACCTCACCACAGGGTTGTCGGGAGGGTTTAACGGCACAGGGCACTTGATCTAGCACAACCCAGGTAGTCAGTAGAAGGCTGTTAAGCGGTAGCTGTGATGGTCACTAATTGTTATTTTCTGAGAATTACAGTGTCCGGGGGCCGAATGCCTAGGGCCTAGCACACAGTAGGTGCTCAAAGCGAAGGGAATCACCCAGCCACCCCCGACCTGCTGTGCCTTTCCTCTCTGGCGTGGAAGGAGTCCTGGGTGCTGGTCCTCATCAACAACAGGGTGGCTTGGGAAAGCAGGTGCAGGGCCCCTACCCCCTGGCCCGACCCCTCATTCCCAGCCTAGGGCCCACTCCAGAGACAAGGGGTGGCTGGCAGGGAAGTTCCTTCAGGTTTTGTGAGCTCTTGCGGGCTGTCTGGCTTTCTGGTGGCGCCACCTGGTGGCGAGTGCAGCACGTCTCCTGTCTCCTGCAGCTGGGGGCTCTGAGTCGACCAAGACCGCACACTGCCCCCTTGCCCTCTAGCCACCCACCACCGCCCAGCCTCACGCATAAGGGATCCCAGCCTCGCTTGTCGGGCGGGAGCCCCTGAAGCCCAAGTTCCTGCACCTTCCTCTCTGGCCTGGCACTGTCCCCTGGGGCTGGGTCCCACAGCCTGCCCGGGTTCACAGTCAGGACATCCCTAAGGGCAGATGACCTTCCAGGGGTTTCTAGAAGCCGAGGCCGGAGGAAGGGGCCTCCTTCCTGGCCTGGGATGGCCCAGGGATGGGAAGCCCAATGCCAGTCACTTGGTCCATGCCTGATTCCCTACAGTATTTGCCTGGGAACCCCACAGCTCCCCTCCCTGTCGTGAGGGACCTGGGACCCCCACAAGGACTGGCCTGGCTCCTTGGCCCCCGCCAGACCTGCAATCAGCCTTGTCGAGAGCTGCTTGTACAGTCTGAGGGAAGAGCAATGAATAAGAATTAGGAGATGGAGTCCTGCTCCCGGCTCTGGCGCAAACATGCCGTGTGAGGTGGGGAAGGCCCCACCCCCCGGGGCCTTAGTCTCCCCGTAGTCAAATGGGTGGGCGGAGGGGACCAGGTGATAGGTGAGGGCCCTGGTAGCTTCCAGACTGTGCTCTCCAGATGCAGATTCCCGGGCCTGCTACTTCGGAGTCCCTGGGCTGGGACGCTGGCATGTAGATTAACGAGCACTGGGCTAGGATGTAGCGAGGCTGATCAGTCCCAGCGTTGGGAGGCAGAAGCGAGGGGTGCGTATTGCCGGCAGGTAAGAAAGCGTGGTGGTTTCAGGGGTCCTGAGAGGCAGAGGAATCCCTCACCCCCCAGTCCCCATCCATCGAGTCCCCCAGTTGCCATGGCTGTGGGAGGGGTCAGCCCCGCTGCAGGTCTGTCGCACCCCACTGTGAGCAGCAGCAGAGGGGTAGCAGAGAGCCAGCTCGGTGCACACCCAGGCTGCCCCCACGCCTGGCAGAGGGGCTGGGACAGCCTGGGGGGTGCGGCGGGGGCCCGTGTTGCCTGAGGAGGTATTTTCAGAGTCCCCCTCCCTCTGGAGTTTCCAGCGATAGAATAGAGCCCTGTCTAGCATTTGACCAAATATGGTGGTATCTCTCGAGGCGCTGGAGCCCTAGCCAGCGTCCCAGTTATGCTGTGGAAACCTGCCCTGGACAGATTAATCTTGTGACATTCGGGAGCGCCTCTCGCCCTGCGTTCTTCCGCTGGGCCGATTCCTGTAAATGGCCAGGACCGGCCCTCAGTAAGACAGGGCAGTCCTGGACGTCTGCCCCCAGTGACCTCCTCTGTCCCCACGCCCCTCCCCCCACACCTGCCTCCCTGCGTGGATTCGCTGCCATCCGGCCGGGCTGTTCACTCCAGGTGAGAGACGTTGGCCAGAGGAGCCGGCCAGGTTAGCATGGGATTCCAGGACCTGTGGCCCCTGGCGGTGACCTGACCTCATGAGGCCGTGGCCTGAGTCTTAGAAGCCTAGAGCTCTCTTAGCAGCCAGGAGGGGCCCCCAGAGGGTAGAAAGGAGAGTCGGTTGAGTATTGAGAACCCTGCTAGCTCTAATGCTAATTAGAACTGCTAATGTTTATAGCAATAATGATAAAATTATTTTATAATGAGTTCTGTAATAAACAGCTAAGTGTTTATTGAGCACTTACTATGGGCCAGGCACTGTGCTGGCTATCTGACATGGGTTATTTCCTTTATTCCTGATAGTGGCCTCAAGAGGTGGATGCTACGATTATTCCCAATCTAGAGATGTGGGAACTGAGGCTCAGAGGGATTTCAGGGAGGCATGGGCCAGGCCACCGTCTATTCCAGGACACAACTCCCATTTTATAGAGAAGGGACTGAGGCCGAGAGAGAAGGACGGTCACAAGCTGCCATACACGGGCAGGCCCCGGGCGGGGAGACCTCCCTGGGACAAAGGCCAGAGCAGTCGGCCGTGAGGTCCTCACGGCTCCGCACGTCTCTGAGCGAGGGCACGCAGATTCAGAAACATGCTCACAGCAGGCTGGAATGGCACCGAAAGCAGCCCAAGAAAAACAGCCTGCGGGGGCCGGATAGAGCCATGGACGGAGACCAGCATGAGCCTCCCAGCTCTGTCACCTCGAAATCACTGTATAATATGGGACGAGTCCCTTCCTCACTCGGGCCTCAGTTTCCCGGCCTGTGTACTAGAGGGTGGGACTGTGGTCTCCTCGGGCCATGGCGCTCACCTGAGGCTGGCAGAGGCTGGAGCGCCTGGGGCTGTGTCCCTGGGAGACAGGCCTGTGCCCTGGGCTGGCCAGCAGGCTCCCAGAACATTTGCTCTCCTGACCAGCCGACGGCCCATCCCTCCTCCACCCTCGCCCCCTTGCCATCCCCAAAGCGAACGAAGCTGATTGTCTTACTGGCCCTGTGGGTGCTGGCCCGGCGGCCGGCCGCAGGCCACAGGCGGAGGTGCCACCGGCCCAGAGCCCCGCCAGACACACAGGGCATTGTCCCTCGGTCAACAGCCCCTGGGCACCTCAGCCCGGCTCCTGGCCTGCCCCCACGTCCCTCACCGCCGGCCACAGCGCTGGGCCTGGCCAGCTGGGGGCCCAAGGCTCCCAGCTGATGACGAGCCCACCCACCCACTCCCCCAGCAGCCCCCAGGCGAGCTATAATTGCTTCGCTCCGTCCTGTTGCTGCCATTCTCTCGGCGGCGGCGGTGGCCTCTGGGGCTCCAGGCGGGCGGCAGCTGCAGGCTGACCTCGACGCGGAGCGGGATGGACTGGCCGCACAACCTGGTACGTGGCGCTTCCCCGGCCCGCCCCCACCCCCTTTTGCAGCCTGAGTATTTCAGTATTTCTTTCCTATTGATTAATGGCTGCCTCTGTTTGGCTTGGAATCTGCGGAGGCGAGTGCTCCCTCTGCCCTCTCCCCCAGGGCTAGAAAGAAACAGAGACTGGTCTCAGAGCCTGCAGCCATGCCTGGTGGCTCAGCTCTTGCCCCGGGCTCAGGCCGGCCACACTGAAGCCCTTTCAGGCCAGAGGCATCTGGGGAGATGCTGGCAAACTCCTCGGCACGGGTTTCTCCAACGAGACCTGGCTCCTGAGATCTGGGCTGTGTGACCTTGGGCAAGTCCCTCTGTTTCTCCGTTTCCCATCTGGAAAGCGAGGGAGGGGGACTTTGACTCCGTTCTGGGTTGCTCCCAGTGGAGAGCCAGGGTTTAACAATGCTGCGTGAGACGTTCAGATGAGAGAGCCTATTGTAAGGGAGAAGACATTTTTCTGCCCCGGAGTCTAGGACCAATAAGGAAGAATTTAGCGACTTGAATCTCTGTTGTGGATTTTGCGCCAAGAAATGGCTCTGCCAGGAGGGGCTATGCCGAAACTTGTTTCCCAGGGTCAGACTTGGAGGGTAGCCTGGGTAAAGCAGGCACAGGCCATGGGGCCGCGGGGGAGGCCTGTGGGGCAGGTCTGGGGCAGGCACAGAGCCTTAGAGGTTCCTCCATCTGTCTAGCTCTGTCCCCCCTGCAGGCCCTGGGCCTCCTCTCCCTGGCTTCCTGAGAAGTCTGGGTTCTGCCGGGCCGAGTCCTCTTCTGTGCGAGCCCGAGGCTCTCCTGATACTCTGCTTCTGGGGGGGGGGAGATATGGGCAGAATGGACAATATTGGGTGGAGGGGCAGGCAGGGGCTCGGGGCTGGAGGAGGGAAGGCTCAGGGAGGCGGTGTGGGTGTCACGGGCAGGGTGTCCTCAGCCCATGACTGTCCCAACTCCCCAACTTCATTTCATACCCTCCCCCCCACTCTAAACCAACTCAAACCTCCTCTCTCACTGTTTGCCCCACCTATAAGACTTTTACACACCCTCTGCCCATGTCTGCCACCCTCTTGTCCTTCAACCCTCACCTGACATGTCCCCTCCTCAGAGAAGCTTCCGGGGCCACTGCCCTGGCACAGGCTAAGCAGGAGGCCCTACTCTTCTCTTCTATACCCTGCACGGGGCCACCGTTGCATGCGCCACTAGCGAGACGTCGGTGTTTGTTTTCTTGTTCACTGAGTGTTTTCCTTCCCAGACTGTAAGCTACAGAAGGGCAGGGATGGGGACAGTCATCCATTCACCCAGCAAGTGTTCACTGAATGCCTCAGTGCCTGGCGCCCCAGACACGGGGATGAGACAGCATGTGGGCCTGGGTGTAGTGGCTCACACCTGTAATCCTAGCACTCTGGGAGGCCAAGGCGGGCAGATCGCTCAAGGTCAGGAGTTCAAAACTAGCCTGAGCAAGAGCTAGACCCCATCTCTACTAAAAATACAAAGAAATTAATTGGCCAACTAAAAAAAATACATATATATTATTATATATTATGTATTATTATATGTTATATATAATTATTAGATATTATATATATAATATATATATTATATATAATTAGCCGGGCATGGTGGCACATGCCTGTAGTCCCAGCTACTGGGGAGGCTGAGGCAGGAAGATCACTTGAACCCAGGAGTTTGAGGTTGCTGTGAGCGAGTCTGACGCCATGGCACTCTAGCCCGGGCAATAGAGTGAGACTCTGCCTCAAAAAAAAAAAAAAAAGATAGCGTGGGGAAACTGACACGTGTCTTCATGGAGTCTGTGCTGAGTCGGGGACAGACATATAAAAGAATCACACCTACAACCTGTCAGATCGCTGTCATGCCAGAGGCGTGTGGGTTCTGAGAGCCCAAGAGAGCCCAGAGGTATCCCTAAGGAAGTGACACTAGAGCCAACACAAGGGGCGGGAAGGTGTTTAGGAGGGGAAGAGAAGAGCCACAGCCTGCAGGAAGCGGCCTGTGCAAAGTCCCTGTGGCAGGAAGGAGCACAGTGAGAGTAAGAGAGAGAGAGAAGGCCAGAGACTGGGGCACAGGTGAGAGAGGAGGCAGGGAGTGATTTGATTTGCAGAGCTCAGTTGGGCAGGGAGAGAGGGGTCAGACCTGAGCCTGGGAGACCCCTAAGGGCAATGGGAAAGGACCCTGGATTCCGAGGCTCGGCGCTCCCACCCGTGACCTGTGTGGCCTTCCTCCCCAGCTGCTCCTTCTTACCATCTCCATCTTCCTGGGGCTGGGCCAGCCCAGGAGCCCCAAAGGCAAGAGGAAGGGGCAAGGACGGGCTGGGCCCCTGGCCCCTGGGCCTCCCCAGGTGCCGCTGGACCTGGTGTCGAGGATGAAGCCCTATGCCCGCATGGAGGAATACGAGAGGAACCTCGAGGAGATGGTGGCCCAGCTGAGAAACAGCTCTGAGCTGGCCAAGAGGAAGTGCGAGGTCAACCTGCAGCTGTGGCTGTCCAACAAGAGGAGCCTGTCCCCCTGGGGCTACAGGTAGGCTGGGCCGGCAGCAGTGGCCAGCTGTCTTTGGGGGCTGGGGCCTTTCCCACATCCCAGTCATTGGGTCCTTGGATCCAGAGGTCTGGGTGCCTGGGTTTGAATCCGGGCTCTGCCTCTTCCAAGCTGTGTGGCCTTCGGCAAGCGGGTCCGCCTTCCCGGGGCTCTGTTCGCCCATCGTCAGCAGAGGTGGCACAGCACCTACTGCACAGGCTGCTGTTAGATGAGATAGATATCCACGCAGAGCACTGCCCTGACCGCTCTTCAAGCCCTTCCCCAGATGTCACTTCCTCCAGCTCCATGGTGGCTCACACACTCTCCTCAGTTGTGGCATGTCCCTGGCTGTGCTCACGTGTGTCTCCCGAGCTAGACCGGGACCTTCCCAGTGCCTGCGTCAGGGCCACCTAAGGGTTCCCACGCCGCACCCTGCTGAAATCTCCAGAGGCCCCGACAGTGGCATTTCATGTATCTGCACATGACGGGCTGGCACTGCCGTTTCTGACTTGGGAACCCAGACCTGCTGCCCCGGGACGGCGGCAGCACTGTCCCTACCTCGTCCACTTCCTGGCTCAGCGCCTGGCACACAGAAGGGGCCAAATACATATGTATATATGTTGAACGAACAGTGAAAAAAATGGCTGGCCCCTAGGACTTCGCTCACAAACCCAGGCTGAAGAGTTTTCAGCCCCACGACTTAACACTCTGAGACTCTGGAACGGCACTGTTGACTGGAACTTTCTGTGACGATGTGAAGTCTAATCTAACAGCCCCTAGCCTCACGTGGCTACTGAGCCCTCGAAATGCGGCTTAGTGTGACTGAGGAACTGATTTTGATTAAATTTAAGCCGACACGCGTGGCCAGCGGCAGAGTCTCCGGGCTTTGCGCGCCGCTTTACCGCCCGCGGGACCCTGTGGAAACGCAGGCTCTGGCTGCCAGCGTTCCGCGCTTCTAACAGGCTCCCAGGTGTAACGAGGTGATGCGGCCCCGCCTGTCCGCAGGTCCGGGCCTCCCGCTCCCCCCCCCCCACGTTCGGCAGAGGAGGGCACTGAGGGACAGAGCGAAAGGTGGGAAGCGAGTCCCGGTCCCGTGTGCTCGGCTCCCTGAGAGCACCGCGCGGGACCGACCGCTTGGTGCGTCAGCGACCGCCTACAGTCTAGGACAGACCGTTCACGCGGCGGGCCTGGGAAACCTGCCCGCATGAGTGGAGATGAGGCCGGAATAGAGCCCAGGCCTCCTGACTCTTCGAGTGGAAATCAGGCATCAGTGTAGTGTGCGCACATTTCATTTCCATGGGTTAAGTTTACCAAAAATGCAAATAAGTGCGGGGTGGATGTGGAGGGGGCCTTGAGCTTCTCTGGGATCCCCACAGCACAACCTAGGACTGCTGGGGTGGGCACCTGCTGTATGAGAGCAGGACACAGGGTGACTGGCCGGTGACCTTGAACCCGGATAACCTCCGGGCACGTGGCTTGCCTGCTGGGCCCTTCGGTTTCCTGACCTGGCACACGCAGCTGGTTGCTGTCCTTCCTCCAGCACCGCACAGCCTCGCTGGGGCGTCAAAACCCGGGGTTAGGAAAGGCAGGGGCGTGGGGGGGCGGGCTGCCCATTGGCTCCTTCCCGACCAGCTTCCGCCCTGCGCTCTCTCCTGCTCTCCGCAGCATCAACCACGACCCCAGCCGCATCCCCGCAGACCTGCCGGAGGCGCGGTGCCTGTGTCTGGGCTGCGTGAACCCCTTCACCATGCAGGAGGACCGCAGCATGGTGAGCGTGCCGGTGTTCAGCCAGGTGCCCGTACGCCGCCGCCTGTGCCCGCCGCCGCCTCGCCTGGGGCCCTGCCGCCAGCGAGCAGTCATGGAGACCCTCGCCGTGGGCTGCACCTGCATCTTCTGAACGCCCGGCAGGAAAGCCGGCCGGTGGCTGGAGACCACCCTCCCTGCACCCCTGTGCCCAGCAAGGCCTGTGAAAAGTAAACGGTCTTTTGAAAGCAAGACTTTGGGTTTGCTCCTTGTGGCTCCAAAGCCAAAAGCAGGGTGGGGTTCAGTAGCAGGTCCCTGCGGGGTAGATTTCAGGTCAATATAAAGGGGAATTTTCCATCACTCACAGTTCTCCAACACTGAGACAGGCTATTAAAAACATACTGCATGCATTTCTACCATTTAGGACAGTCACATTCTTCCTTGAATTTGGGGCTTATCAGTGTATATTTGAGCCATGTTATTGTAGCTTGGTTGTTATCAACCAACATAGGAGTTGACAAGAGCTAACTCTACCCAATTAAGTCAAAGGTCTTTGGAAACAAGGTCTTCTGAGGTGGGGAGCGCTTCGCTTCTGCAAGTGTCGGGCTGAAGCTGAGCCTCTTGCGGATATTGTGGAGTCTGCTCTGGTTGGAGCCGACGATCTGTAAGGTCTCTTTCAGTTCTGACATCCTCTGCAGATCAGACTTAGACCCAAAAAAGGTCCTTCAGGTTGCCAAAGAGCAGGAATTTTTAACCTAGACCAGCGAACCCTTAATTTTTTATGTGAATATGTACTTTTTCTGGGCTGGGGATTGCTGGGTTTGAACACTCAATAATTGGGAAGGATCAGTGTAGACCATTCTTTCATCTAGCCCTGCCCACAAGGGGATCTGGTTAGGCAGTTTGTTGATATCAGTGATCCCTGAACTTCAGGGAGCATAAGGATCACGCAGGTTTGTTAAAACACAGACTGCTGGCCCCACACCTAGGGGTTCTGATTTAGGCAGGGGCTGATACTTTGCATTTTTACGCAATGGTTTCTTTGCACTTCTGATACAGTGGTTCCCAGGTGGTGCTGATGTTGCTGGCCTGGCGACCACACTTTGAGAACCACTGGCTTGTATCTAGATGCTGTGGTGATCAAAAACGGCAGTGTTAGGCCGGGTGCGGTGGCTCACGCCTGTAATCCTAGCACTCTGGGAGGCCCAGGCGGGAGGATTGCTCAAGGTCAGGAGTTCGAAACCAGCCTGAGCAAGAGCGAGACCCTGTCTCTACTAAAAATAGAAAGAAATTAATTGGCCAATTAAAAATGTATAGAAAAAATTAGCCGGGCATGGTGGCACATGCCTGTAGTCTCAGCTACGCAGGAGGCTGAGGCAGAAGGATCGCTTGAGCCCAGGAGTTTGAGGTTGCTGTGAGCCGTGGTTGAAACCATGGCACTCTAGCCCAAGCAACAGAGTGAGACTCTGTCTCAAACAAAACAAAACAAACCCAACCAAACAACAAAAAAATGGCAGTGTGGACTAGCTTGTTCTAAAGCCCACGCTGACTCTTGGCCCCTAAATACTAACTCCCAACGTCCCCCGTGAACCCCTAGCAATTCAATCCACCCTCCCTGGGCCCTCTAACCCCTGCACCAAATCCCAAATCAGCTGTTCTAGGGTCTAAAAATACCTTCCCTCCACTAAGACAGCTGAGGGGCTCAGGCTGTTTTCTGAGGGTAAGAATAGCAGGCACTTTAGAGTCAATTTCAATAAAAGGGCCAACAGCCCAGCGTAGGAATCCTTTACTGGCTGCTCTGACTTTAGTGCTTAAAGCAGCTTTAGCTCTGGATGTTTTAAGGGTCTAATTCATGAAAGGCCAATGGTTAGGTATGTGTCTGTCTGGGATGCTAAGTTACTTACCTTTTTTGGTATCATTCTAGAATGGATACTGGTTAAAATTACCCCAGGAAGCTTCGGCCTGGTTCCAGACAAATGGAAAATAGACTTCCTGTGCCAGCCCGAGCAGGTCCCGGCAGCAGCCGCTTCTCCATCCTCGGTGGCTCCTCTCCGAGGCCCCCGCAGCCTGCTCTCCGGGTCGCAAGGCTTCAGCCCCACAGGGAAGGCCCACGGCCCCCAAGGATTTTTGGTGGGGTGAGGGTGAGGGTGTGGGGAGAATCGAGCTGCAGGAAGGTTGCTCCTGGTCTCAGGAGACCTCAGGTGCCCTGGGGCATAAGGGTCGGGTGGGGGGTCCCCTCACCGTGGTGACAAGGGGCTGTCCTGCTTCTGTCGAGGCGTCAGAGACACAAGAGACACCTAGCAAAGGCCACTTAGTTTTATAAGGATGTTGCCTTTTCCTCTTTCTGGGCTTCACGCCCCTCGTCTGTGAGATGAGCAGATAGGATTTAGGGGTCTCCAGGATCTTGCTCAGTTTAACCACTCTGCAACTTAGAAGCTGGGCCTCCTGAGCCTGGGCTGGCCCCTCCCAGGCGCCTGGTTTGGAGGCAGCAGCAAGGAGCTCAGGATGGTCGGGGGTGGTGGTGGGGGGAGAGTGGATGGGGTGGGGGGGTGGGAGCCCAAGATCTGTCCCCTGGCTCCTTCATAGGTGGGTGGGAGCAAGGCATTCCTTACACCCCTGCCCCCATTCTACCCTCCACAGCTGCCTTCCCACTACCCCCCACTCCCCACCCAGTGGTGAAATTTTGCCTGGGTCACCTGCTGTAGGAGGTGGAATTCCTGTGAAGAGGGTGTAACACCCACTCTACTGCACCCAGGACAACTGAGGACAAGTGTAGCCCTTTCCTGTTTTATTTAGCAGAGTATATGGCTCCCTCTGTCTTTGCAAATGCTCCCTCTTCTCCCAGGGAGCTGTGGCCACTTGGGTGCTCCCCAAGCCTGAGAAGGCTGGGTGGGCCCTGGGGCAAAGGCTTCCGCTGGTTCTCACACTCCTCTCTGGAATCTCTGTCCTTTCCTCCCTGCCTGCAAGGAAGGGAGATGGTGAGATCCAACTCTCAGGTTCGGGCTTGGGGAAGCAGGCGGCGTGGGCATTTTGGCTGGCTTTGGTTCTGAGCTGTTTGGGCCTGCCTGCCCAGGTAAAGGACGTTTCTGAAGGATGTGGCCAGCTCTGCTGCAGTCATGCTTGGACATGGAGGCCAAGCCCCAGTCGAGGACCGAGGACCAAGTGTAACTGCCCTGGTTTGCATCTTCTGTGCATAGATCCTCCTTAGGGTGGTTACCAGGGTTAAGTTTTGTATTGTCCCTGGTCCTCTGGTCCAATACCAACTATCAATTACAGTATGATAGCCCATTGCCATTTTCATTTCAAACACAGACCACCCAAAGATGCCATGACACACTTTGATTTTATAGGACATGAGAGCCCCATCTGCATGGGGCTGACATTGTGTTCTCTTTCCAACACCCTTTCCCTTCTCTGACCTTGAAGTTTGGATGAGACCATCTCTGCTCCAGGGACAGGACCCAGTCACTGTTCTAAGCCACATCCCCTGTGGCATGCTTATTGGTCTGGTATCTGAGTCCCAAGCCAATCAGCATGGAGCATTCCCCTGGCCACGAGAATTGGTTCATGGGTGGTCCAATGGGCCCAGCGCCCAGAATTTGGTTCAGTGGTTATGGGAGAAGACCTTCTTACCCTGGGAGCTGTTGGCAGCCATCTTTGACCATGAGAGAAGTAATGGAACTGTAGATTGCAAGGTGCTCTACACCTAGACTTTTAAGTTATAATAAACAACAAAAACCTTTTATTGCTTATGTCCATGTGAGTTTGGTTTTTTACTTGAACCAAAGGCCTTCTTACTGATGTGTCAGTTTCATAATTTCTATAGTAACCATCAAGACTCTCTCTCTTTCACTGCCATCACTATCACTCTGGTATAGTGAAAACAACCTCAGAGCCAGTTTGGGCCTCCACCAATTGGAAGGGTATTTTGCCCATGCTGAACTGAATTTTAAGAAGCTCCAGATTTGAGCTGTTCTATGAGCTCACTAGGAGACCTTAAACAAGCTCTTTCCTCACTTTGGGCTTTTATCGCCCTCTCTACAGAGACAGGGAAGTTAGCTGGATGATCTCTGGCTTCCTGTTAGGAAGGCTATAGTATTAGCATCAATCGGCAGTGTTGTTTCCTCCCAGTATCTGCGACCTTCCTCTAACGACTGTTTAGCAGGTCTGGGTGGGACTTGGACATCTGCATCTTTCTCAAGCCCCCTTCCCTTCCCCAGATCCAAATGTGGTGGTTGGTCCATGCATCACACACGCTGGATGCCCTAGGCTTAGTCCCTCTGTTCTCCTCTGTTGCAGAAAGGAATGGGTCCAAAGGAATGAAAAGGACTTTTACTTTCTTTTCTAAAACTACTGACCTTTAAAGGTTCGTAGAAAAAGCAAAGCAAAGCATAATCTTCCTCTCCTTTCAAGCTAGTGTCACAGGAGAAAGCACCAGGTTAATCTTTGGAGAACTCCATCCCAATGCCTTCTTTCCTTTCCTTCTGCTGGGATGAATGTTTGGGGGTGAGATAGGACTGCCCTCTATGCCTGTGGACTTGCCTTTTTTGCAAGACAAATCCATTGTATTACTCCTCTACCCTGCATAATTAAGAGAATGGTCAATCCCTCCAGGTGCCAAGAAGTTCCCGCCTCCTATAGCCTGATATTTCTTCTCCCTCTGGTTGCCAGGAAGCTCAAAGCTATACTGATGGCTCTGTTGAGGCACACATCTCTTTCTTGGGTCCTTGGGTGACCACAGTCACCTCCTCCAATATGCAGAGGCTTGGGTTGTTGAGAGGCTTGGAGATGGTGTCTAGTAAGTTTTGAACTAGCTGCCTCACATCTAGCAAGACCACAGCAAACAGGAGCTATAATCATTCTTAGGTTTTCTGATCTTCCCTTTTACTTTATTGAAAACCATCTGGTTGTAAATATTTTCTTGTAGCCTGCCTCCAATGGTTGTCCATTTTAGGAGTAGGTGGTGAAATACAGTAAAAAAAATTAGACTCAAAGTCCTCTGCCTTATAATCCCTCAGCTGTCCTAGTTCCTAGTTAGAAAATCAAGTCAGAAGCATCTGGAGAAGATGGACTTTTATTTCTTCTTAAGAAAAATAAATAAAACAAATATACTGGCTTGAATTTCCTTCCCTTTTCTTATTGTCCCCTTAAAAAAAAAAAAGAAGCAACCACCATAAGGATCCTCAAGATAGGCAGACAGCGGCCACCTGGACCCACCCTGGAGGGAGAAGACGCTCGGTACCGAGGGTCAGAGACAGGCTTGGTGGGCAAGCTTGGCTCATTCAATCCTGGGCTGCGGGGTGTGAGCCATCTTCAGTGGGGGGCTGGAGTTCCTGGGCTCTCCCCAGAGCCCTCACAGTTCAGTCTTGACCTTGTGCATCAAATCCTTTTGGTCGATCTTGTCTAGGTCCTGGTACCAGCGGTTATAAGCCAGCAAGGCCACATTCTTGGCAGCTACGGCCATCACCTCCACAGAGCTGGCTGCCCACTCCAGAGCGTTGAGGTAGAAGAGCTGGTCGTGGAGCGCAAACCTTGGGAGAGTCAGGCGGGAGCCATACAGGGGATGGGCCTGCCACTCAGCCGTCTGCACTGAGTAATAGGAACGGAAGAGGGTCTTCAGCTGGGTCCGGAAGAGGGGCTGGGGGGACTGCACTCGCCAAACAGCTGCCTCTTGGGGCTGCTTCCGCCGGAAGTTGGCCGAGATGTTGACGGGACAGATGTTGTCCAGAGTGGAGAAGAAGCTGGGGAAGTCTGTGGTGAGGATGCTGGCAAAGGGGAAAAGCTTAGGGTCTGGGAAACCAAAGTAGGAAGAGTTGAGGTAGCCATGGACCAAGGAGACCACGCTGGGCTGGAACGAGCCCTGGATGTCTTCAATGGGTGGGTTGAATCCTTCAAAGGTGAAGTTGCTGCTGCTGTTGTCCAGGTGCAGAGGGGATGCGATGACCACGATGTCATACAAGTCTGAGCTATTGCCCACCTCATTCTCATACCCCACCTGGTACAGGGCTTTCCCTTCTGGAAGGAGAAAAAAAGGGAGCAAAAAAGTCAACATACTCCTTGGATGCTACCCACCGAGCTCCCACCTGGTGCCCAGCATTGACGGTACAAGGGGTCCCTGCCACCAAGGGTACAGCTGGGCTGTCTAGCTGGTGGGGCCCAGTCTTTCTATGCTGGTGCAGTCGCAGGGCGAGCACTGGACTGGGAGCCAGGAAACCCAAATTCTTCACTGGTTCTGCCACTGACTGGCCGGGGGAGCCTGAGCAAGGCTGCTGGAAAAAGGCCAGATTGGTGGGTGGCTCAGTTTGCTGGCTCTGACATTTGAATTGAGACAACAGCACCCCCTAGTGGCCCTTGGCAGGGCTGGGGCTTCCTCCCATGGCTTTTCTGTTAATGCTCTGCAGCAGGACACAGACCAGGGTAGAGGTCTAGAGGTAGAAGTGTGGGCTGGTTGGCAATAGCGTGCGTGGCCACGCCTCCAGGTCTGTCCACTCACCTGTGCTGTGCAGGGTCACGGAGGTCACGGTGGCGTGGATCACATTGGCCTTGGTGAGCTTCAGCAAACCGGAACAAACCAGCTTGTTGCCTCCCTCCACAGACCACAGGCTGCCTTGGGCCCCGGCAAGTGACATGGCTCCTGGGCAAAGCGGGAAGGGGGCCGGTGGGTTCTCAGAACCACCAGGCAGTGGGCTGGGGGGTCCGGCACTATTCTACTGGGCTCTGAGCATGGGCACAGACAGACAGCAAACATATAAATACAACAAAGCTCACCAAGCTGTGCGGTGAAAACACAGTGCTCAGCAAGAGTCAGCTCCAAAAGACCAAGTATTGTATGGTTCTGCTTGATACGGAATGCCCAGAACGGGCAATCCATAGAAACAGAAAGTAGATCTGTGGCTGTCTGGGGCTGGAAGACTCAGGGGCGATGGATAGAGGGCAGGGGGTTTCTTTCTGGTGATGAAAATGTCTCAAAGTTGATCGTGGTGATGGCTGCACAACTCTGTGGATATACTAAAAACCACTGTATTATACCCTTTGAAGGGGTAATTGTGTGGTGTGCTATAAAGGAGACACACACAAAGACAATGGAAGAGTGAGCAGGGAAGCCACACTGAGGGGACAGTGAACAGGACCCAAAGGCTGGGAAGAAGCCGGCGTGTCAGGGGCCGGATAGTATCCTGGGCACAGGGAGGCGCCTTTCCATGCAGCTATCTAACAGGAATGTGCGGAGTGGCTGGAACCATGCAGGCACCGTTCTCAGTGTCTGGGATACCTCAGTGAATACCAGACAGACTCCTGCGCTCGTGAAGGCTGCGGTCTCTGCTGCTATGGCCTGTGCCGGAGGCTGGAGGGCTGTACACGGGCCCGCCTGCCCCAGTAATGAGCTGGGGAGATTAGGTGCTCCAGCGGATGAACACCCAGGGGCTCAGAGGCATAGTGGGGCAGTTCTTGAAACCAAAGTGTGGACAGCAAAGAGCCACCTCAACTCCAACGTTTACGCACATGAAAGGGATTACGAGGCAATCAGGAGTGGCAGAAACACCCTACCCCTCTGATCCAAGCCTTGCTTTCACTGTCTGTGAAGGCGAGTGAGCACCATCTCGGCTAGCTCGGAGGACCAATGCCAGAATCAAGTGGGAATGGGGCAGCAAAGCGCCTCGGCAACTGCAATGAGCTGGACGAAGGTGAGGTTGTCACAGGGCCCCCAGCCCATTCTGGGCACCGTGGGCAGAGGAAGGGCAGGTGGGCAGGTTGAGGGCGGGACGCTCACCGGCAAAGGCAGGCATTGCTGCTGACTGGCCATAGCTGGCCCGCAGGACGGCAGAGACGACATCGTCGATAAATCGCTGTGTGACGCCCACCTGGAGCAGGGACTCGGTCACAGAGCGCTGGGTCATGTTGACAAAGGCAGATTCCCCCAGTGAGTAGAGCAGCTCCTCCACGCCCGAGAAAGCAAAACCGTGGGCCTGGTACTTATAGATCCTAGGAGACACACAGGGCTGCAGTCCTGGTGCAGAGAGGCTTTCGGCTGACCACCTGCCACTGGGGACCTGTGCCTGGGTGGCCCGCCAGGAACCCGTCACCTCCTCTACACATGGCAGGGTGGGAGAGAAGGCCGGTTATGTGGCCTGCTCTCTGGCTGGGGTGGGCCTGTCCCACCTAAAGGCACAGTGTAGAGGTAAGGAATCCCACTAGACCTGGTTTACATCATGGCTGGAGAATGACAACTGTGTCACCTCTCTGAGCCACTGCCTGCCTGAGGTCATAGTCCACAGCCCTTTCTTCAGCCAGCTGGGCCTGCCAGGCAGCAGTGGGCCACGGCCCAACCCTGCTGGCACAGCCCCCTCTCCAATGGCGTTGGCTCTGCCCTGGCTTCTAGGACCACGTTGGCCCTGATGGCGGCAGCCAGCCTCATGCCAATGCTGTCACCTCTCTGCTAGCCCAGCCTGTCCTCGCCTCTGGCTTGATCTGACAGGGCTCCCACTCACCCTCAAGCTCACGTCTTGTCCCTCTCCTGCTTGCCTAATCTCAGGGACTTGCATCGACTGGTAGATTACTGGGCTGGCTGGCCTTTGAAATGCTGTCTATTCTGGGGCTGCTGTGTAAACATCTGGAGTTTTGTTATCAATGGGGCACCAGAGGGAGGTGTCCAGAAAGCAGACAGAAATGTGGGTCTCAACTGAAGGGGACACCAGAGTTGACAAGGAGAAGTTATCTCCCACAAAAGTGAGAAGTCAACATTACAGGTCTGGAAAAAACTGGCGAAGGAGAAAGTATCAGAAAGAAGAAAGGGGGTAAGGACATGAGCTGTGGGGGACATCTGGAGAATGTAAGACATGCCCTCACCAGCAGAGCTGTAGAAGTGGAAGGGGAGTGAAGTCCCAGGAACCAGGGAGGGAGGGCACAGCCCACGCTGCGCGTTTGACACTTAAGGGACGCAGATGACACAGGGGCCTGAGGAGCAGCCTCAGAAGCAGCGAGCACCTTTGGAAGGGACTCCGCAGGAAAGGCAGGCGACAGCTTGGTGAGCGAGTGACAGAGTGAGACTAGATCACGTGTCCTCCACACCTGAGACTCAAGGTGATGGGGAGGGGCTGGGACCCACTGGTTCTCAATGGAAAAGCTGGGGGACAGCAAAGTTTGTAAACGGTGGCCCCCAGGCCGCACTGCATGGGGCCCACAGGCATGTTTAACTTGGTTACAAGATGTATTGGTTACAAATGCTGAAAAGCTGGGAGATTTCACATATCGCCCTGGATTTCCAGCTTCTGCAGAACCGGAAGATGTGTCCACGTGCGGCGGGCACTGCACACGGCTGGCCGCAGCTGACTGCGGGGGAATGCTGGCTGCCTCCTCCTCCTTGTTCTGCTGGTCACCCACTCCCCACTGCCCCCTGTCCTCTTCCACCTGCTGTTTCTCTGATTCACACCCTGGTTCGGCCTTGCAGGTGACTGTGTTTGAAACCCACGCTTTTGTCAGTGTAGCAGACGGAAAAAGAATGAATGCCGGTGTGACCACACAAGGGAGACCGTCCTTGCACCCAGTAAGGCCACTCCTCACGCTAGAAGCTTGCTCTCGGCCTGCGCCGAACTGTGCTGGGCTCTCACAGCCAGCAGGGACCTTTTCCTCTTGCACAGTGCACCCCAAGCTGCTTCCTTCCCCGCCTTCTCCTCTCCCGCTCTGTAACGCCCGCCCCGCCCCACGGTCCTCCGCCAGCCCTACCTCATGAACTTCTCCATGACCTCCTCCACCCACATCTGCAGCCTCAGGAAGCTGATGCCGTAGTGCCACCAGAGGCGGAACAGGTTCAGCAGGTACCAGTCAGTCTCCTCCAGCACGAAGTGCTCCCCGCCGAAGAGGGCGCTCCTGCCCACCACCTCGCGCCGCTGCCTCAGCCCTGCAGAGATGAGGAGGCGGCCCTCGGGTCCCCTTCAAAGACTCGGGGCCTTCCCACGCCGATGGTCTGGCTCCGTTCAAGGAAATACAGACACTACGGTTTGCTCATTTGTGTTGCTTGTTTACGAACAGTAAACAGATGCACTGGGAAAACGTTTAGCCTTCCTGATCAATGAAAAAATGAAAGCGAAAATAATGTGCCATTTCACGTTTTTTTTCAACAGGGATCCACTCAGCTACAAGTGAGGGAAATACAGATGTCATCCCAGAATGTCTAGGGGCTGACAGCCACAGGCCTTGCTCTGAGATGGCGGCCCTAGGTGCCAGGATCACGCAGAAATCATCACAGCACCTTACAGCCCTCCTGTGCCCCACACCTTGCAGAGTGATGGACTCCTAAATACGGTTACAGCTGCTGTGATTTATTCTTTCCCCCACTCCCACTACTATATACTGTTCTGCACCGTAGCAACACACTGCATCTTGGAGTATACTATAGCTGAGCATAAAGGACTTCCCCATTCTGGCTGCTGAATAAATACTGTGCATATTTGCAATAATTTATTAAACCCCAGTTCCCAGTGGGTGGGCAGATAGGGTATTTTCAACCTTTTGCTATTACGAACAATGCTGTGACGTTGTATGTGGGCCACTTTGTATATCTGCAAGACCACCTGTAGGATCATTTCTGAGAAGTGCAACTCCTGTGTCAAACAGTATGTGTATTTGTGGTTCTGAAAAATGCTGCCCGGTTTGAATCTCAGCTCTCTTGCTTATTAGCTGCATGGCTTTAGCTGAGGTGTACACATTTTCTGAGCCTCAGTTTCCCCAGGAGGACACCTAACATTCACCGTGCAGGCTGGTAGGGAAGACTGGAAGTAATGCCTACATACCACCTAGAAGGGTGCCAGGTATCCGGCACCAGCCTATGGGAGCTGATATGATCATGATCATTAAGAGGCAGCAAATTGAAAGGGAAAGAAACTGGCCTGGGAGTCAAACCTGAGTTCTAATCCCGGCTCTGCAACTAACTCACTGTGTAACCTCAGGCAAGTTCCTTCCCCTCTCTGGTCTCAGCTGCTCCATCTGTAAAATGAGGAGATGGGGCTACATGACCTTCTGGACTTGATGGTCTAGGCAGATGCTGCTGCCAGCCGCGGGGCGCTGGAGCCCCCGGACTGCACACTCACCCAGGAGCTTGACGAAGTCCTGCATGTGCAGGCTCAGGGAGTGGAAGGAGGCGGCTCCGCTCTCGTAGTGCTGCTTGTTGACGGAGATGGTGGCCAGGCGGCCGCCGACAGTCCCCTTCTCATACACGTCGATCTGCACCCGGGGGCCAAAGTGCTGCTGGAGGAAATGGGCCACAGCAGAGCCCCCGATTCCAGCCCCGACCACCGCTGTCAGCACCCACAAGGCAGGGATGGAGAGAAACAGAGTATGGGAGTGAGAGGCTGCACGCCACACCTTTGCATCCTCCTGCCCTGGTGGTTCCCAGGCGCTTGCATTTCACAGGCTTGTAACATTTCAAAATGGAAATCTGTAGACTGAGTTGTGAGTAGAGTTATTAATAATAAGCAAGGACAAACCTGAAAACTGCCACCTACTAAAACTTTCATTTTATAAAGAAAAAGATATTATGGCAGCAAAAATAATTTCAAAATCCAGGATGCCTATTTAAATAGATTTAGTTTCATACAAAACTCACTACATTGCCCCCAATTTTCTTATTTCACTACAAATTGATCCTGAGCAGCTCTGTTTGGTGGATCGGTGTTTGGAAACCACTCTTCAATCCAGGGGTTGGCACGCTACAGCCTGCAGGCCAAATCCAGGCAGATGCCTGTTTTTGCAAACAAAAGTCTTATTGGAACTCAGCCATGTCCTTTCTTTTACTTATTGTCTATGGCTGCTTTCATGCTAGGCAGAGTCAGTAGTTGCAGCTGTGTTGTATGGCCTGCAAAACCTAAAATATTTATTCTTTGGCCCTTTACAAAAAGCTTGCCAACTCTTGGTCTAAACCATCCTACCACCTGACATTTAAATCATTTCTACGCCTGTGTTTACCATGGCCGGAATGTTCCCTGAGATGGGTTGCTCATTACCTTATAGGGCACTCTTCCAGTATGGACTCTTGTTACAAAGTTTCAGCTTGTTGAGGTCTTTTTTTGGGTCTTATCATCCACCTCTTTACTACACTCCCGCCTTCTTGTTATTTGCAAATTAGGTTTGCACGGCATCAGTACTCTCATCCAAATCACTGATAAAAACATTTCATGGGACAAGGCTCGGGGCTTAGACAGATATTAATCATTAAATAGCCCTGTGAAGAACAGTAAGCCAGCCATGAAACTACTGAACTGGACTACTACCTTACCCACAATGTCTCTGAAACATTGCTTTCCTCTCATCTGACAGTCCAGTAACCCTATCCAAAAAGAAAGTGAGATAAATCTGGTGTAACGTGTCCTTACTGGACCCATGTTGGACCCTAGGACCATGAGCTCCTGTCAAGAAGTGACAGGCAATCCTTAGACAATACCAGATTCTTTAAGATCTGGCCTCCTTTTACTTACTCCACTCCCTACTCTACCCTTGCAGTACTGCACCTTTTTGTGCATCTAGACTTCCTTTATTTCGGGCACATGCCTCTGCCTGAGCTGTCCCCTTTGTCAGGAGTGTCACCACCTTGTGCCTCACCTGTAGTTTGGCTTGCCTGACCCACCTCAGATGAGTCAGGTGTCCCTACTGCATATTCCCTCAGCACACTGTGCTTACCCCAAGCCTTATTAATTAATTAGTTAATTAATTTATAGATGGAGTCTTGCTCTGTTGCCCCAGTAGAGTGCAGTGGCACCATCATAGCTCACAGCAACCTCAAACTCCTGGGCTTAAGCGATCCTCCTGCCTCAGCCTCCTGAGTAGCTGGGACTATAGGCATGTACCACACTTAGCTGAATTTTCTATTTTTAGTAGAGACAGGGTCTCACTCTTGCTCGGGCTGGTCTCCAACTCCTGAGCTCAAGCAATCCTCCCTCCTCGGCCTCCCAGAGTGCTAGGATGACAGGTCAGCCATGGGCCACCACATTTTAATGTTTTGTTCTGTTTAAGGACAGAGAGAGAGCACAGTCACCTCAGACACTATGTTCCCAGATACTGGCAGGCACTAGAGTTCATGAAGTATTTGTTGCATGTTGAAAGAATAAACCACTTCCTCTTTCTCAGTATTTACAAGCCACTTTCAAGAATGCCCTTAACCTTTTTTTTAGACACTGTGCTTGCCTTCCCTCCTTTTGAAAAGAGTCCCAAATTACCCATTTTTGTAGAGAAACCGATATTACAAAGCCCAGAAGCTGCCCAAGAGCTATCAGGAAGCAGAAGACATCACCTCATTGTGAATCAGCTTATTCAACCCACACAACTGACACCTCCTCTCTGGTCTATGGTAAGATGTGCTGGGGCACAAAGATGAATCAAACAGGGCTTCTGTCCCCCAGGAGCCCAGCATGGAGTGGGCATAGACTGATGCACGATTAGCTAGGACAACTCGTGACAAAGTGCAACTATGGGGTTCCAGGGAGTCCTGGGGAGGAGGCAATGAATTCTGCGCCAGAGGGTGTGGGGACACAGGCTTCACAGGGGGAATAACATTTGATCCGGGCTGAGGACAATTGGCTTTGCTAGTGAGCAGAAATGCATGCTCTGCAGAGAACAGCAGGAGCAGGGCAGCTTGTGGAACTATATGTGTGGGTTTAAAGAGTACTGATGCCACACTGAAGCATTCAGAGTTCATCCTGCAGGAGCCCAAGGATTAGGACACCGTAACAGGAAGCTTCTCAATCTTGTTGGGCAGAGTCCAAACCACCAAGGGCGGACAGACAGAGGCTCCTGTCAGAGGACTGAGGAAAATCAGGAAAGCTAAAGGGCAGCTTGGTGTTGCCAAGTGTCATGCTCTGGATGACTCTTGGGTGAGGTGGGCAGGGACAGTTGGAAAGGGCCAGGCAGAAAGCTGTATGTTGCCACAATGCAGCTGTTCTGCTGGGAGGAGGTCCTGATCCTTCTCCAATGGTCAGTGGGCAATGTCCTGTCCTTCTGCCTGTTTCCAAGAAAAAGGGGAGTGCCCCGCACCCCTGGATACTGCCTGCCTAACTCTTTCTTACCTTCCAAAGCCTGGCTCAAAATCCACTTTCTCCATGAGGTCTTCTCTGGCCACTCTAGCTCTCAGGATTCTTTCCTCAGAAAACTCCACACTCCAGCCCCACACTGATTTCTGGCATGCTTTGGGTCTGCCTTAACCCTTTGTGGCCTGAGCTGTGGTTTTGTAACATACAAAGCTTTAGCACTGCACCGGCCCCTGTAAGTCTGTGAGCTCCCATGAGATGTCCCAAGGCATTCTTGCCAACAGGTGCTTGGAGGTTAGCCTAGTGGAGTAGGGACCTCCCACCCCAGAAACCTAGCATCTCTGCCTGTGGGAATTTTATGTGTGAGGGACTTGAAAATCTTTACAAGTCATGTAGAGTTAAAACAACAATTGTTAAGGGGGGGGGGAGCAACTATAAACATATATGGAACTCTAGTCAATGACATGCACAATGAAGTATTTAGCAAAGTGTCCTAATGTTTGCAGTTTATTTTGAAATACATCAAAATGTAGGATGGATTCATGGATGGATAGAGGGTGTGTGTTAGGTATGTGATAAAGCAAGTATGCTAGCAGTTAATGGCAGAAGGTAGGTGGTGGGTATACAGATGATCACTATAAAATTTTTTCAACTTTGCTGCACATTTGAAAATTTTCAAAATAAAGTATTGGGAGAACCGCACAAATAAAAAATAAAATGACTGCTATTAAAAGTTCCCCACTCAGTCAGCAAATCTCCAGCAGATCTACTGTTCTGTCTCTGCAAACACTGTCTCCTATGTGCCCAAGGTTTGGGCTTAGATGTTACTTCCAGGAAGCCCTCCCTGAGCCACCAAGGCTGGAGTGAAGGGCCCTTCCTCTGTACACACGGTATTTTCTCAGCTTAGCACGGACTTCCCTGTACTGAGGTCTCTCCTCCAAGCAGGAACTAAAGCACCCTGCCACACAGACAGCCCTCAATAACCCTTTGTGAATGCCATCGCCCAGACCCTGTCCTATGTCACCCAGGCGCCTAGCAAAGAGCCGGGTCCAGGGCAGATGCTCAGTGACCCCGGACCTTCCGGTGAGATCAGCGGCCAGTCCTGCTCAGGCCTCTTTTCCGTTGCAGGTGGCCCTCTTCCCAAGCCCAAGCCACCTTCCCCAGCAGCACCGGCCCTGCTGCGGTCCCCTTCCTCGCCCAGTCCCTGCCCCCGCCTCTTACCTACCCAGCCCCTCTCCCGAGGACCCTCCCTGCCCCCACCCAGCTGCCGCCGGCTAACAACCCTTTTCGCGCCCAGCCCTCCCCAGCTCAGCTACCCCCCGCCCCGCGTCCTTCCCGCACCGATTTTGCCGGGCGGGGCGTCTCCGCCTGCAGCGGCGGCGGCGAGGAGCGCGGCCAGCACGGCGAGGAGCGCGGCGGCGCGGGCCATGGCGGGCGGCGAGCGGGGAAGCACGCCGGGGATCGGGCGCTCGCGGGTTGGCGCTCGGCGCCCCGCCCCGCTCGGCGCCCCACTGGCCGTCCCGCCTTCCAGCCTCGCAGGTTCCGGCCTCTCATTGGCCGAGCAGCCGTCCCTCTCCAGTGCGAGGCCCTCATTAGCTACAGCTCTCTCGGGGAACGCTCTCTCATTGGTAGCCTCCCCGTCCCGCCTCCTGGATGCGGGTTCCTCATTGGCTGGCTCGTCCTGGCTCCGGCGCAGGTGTGCGCGCAGCGAGTTCTCAGCATCAGGACCAGGGCCCAGCTGCAGGGAGATGGGTGGGAGACAGGACTGAAGTCTTGAAGACTCGGTTTATGCCCAACCTCTGACTTATTAGCTCTGCAGTGTGCCTTCTCTGTGCCTTACTGCTTTCTCTTTTATAAAACGGACCTAACAGTCCTGCTCTACCTTTCTAGATGGTTTTGACGGTCATGAGAGACAAGGGATGTGAAATGTTTGGCAGTGTCTGCAGGTGCTGCTGACCAAGCATGCAGCCAGGGTGGCTAGACGCTACCTTATGCACATGCTGAAACAAATTCGTATGCTTTGATACTGCTGTTTTCGTGTGCAGTTTTTATGTCTTTAATATCTGCCTTCTACTTCCTAAAAAAGGAAAGGGTTTCATCCAGTCTTTTTTTCAGAAAGGAAAAAAGGTAAGAAGGAAGGGATAACCTCCCATTTACATCCTCTAAGAAAATAAGAGAAGCTCAGTGTGGTTTACCACGCTGTGAAAAACAGATTTCCTCTGGCAGAAGATAAATTTAGGGGAATGAGTTTCAGAATAAAGAAAATCCATATTTATTCAGTCAGATTATGGCTAAGGGAAGAAACTGAAGGGATTCAGAGAAAGGTAAAAGAGTTTACGGCTGGGGTTCTAAGTCAGCTTTGAGCCTTAATTTAATAGGGCCAAACTGCATTACTACTAGTAAAGTGGTAGATGAATAAACATGGATTTCTTATAATCTTTAAAAAATTTTTTTTTGGCAATTTTTGTGTCAGAATGCAACACCTTTTAAGTTCATTTCCAGAGATTTAAGATATTCCCTGAAAAAGTTCTTAAAACAAGCATTCATTGATCACTTTGTGCCAAGTGCTCTTATGTACTGACTTATTCTGATTCTTGTAGTTTGTTGTAGGGTAAATTATATTAACATCAAAATTCATCTTTTTTTTTGTTTTGTTTTTTGTTTTTTGCCTTTTGCACCCTTTATTTTGCTCTCCCTTTGCTGCAACAGTGTGTCTGGTCATCAGTCTGTGGCCCATGTACCATATTCTGTAAACCTGTATCTTGCTCTTGCCATGTAATCCTATCTTTCTCTCCTCCATATATCTCATTTTTATGCTTGCCTAAAAATTTTTTTTTCACCTTTTAATTTATGAAGATTCTCTGCCAATCTCAGAGCTGGGAATAGAGAAAAGAAAAAATAATTTACTAAGAAAAAGAATTGGGGCTGCATCTGGTGAAAGCCTTCTTGCTGGTGGAGACTCTCAACAGAGTCCTGAGGAGGCACAGGGTTATCACATGGCACGGGGGCTGAGCATGCTAGTGCCAGAAATTCATCTTCTTGACTCTACTTTTCTTTCTTCTTTGTTTATTTTTTGGAGACAGAGTCTCACTCTGTTGCCATGGCTAGAGTGCTGTGGCGTCAGCCTAGCTCACAACAACCTCAAACTCCTGAGCTCACGTGATCCTTCTGCTTCAGCCTCCCGAGCAGCTGGGACTACAGCAGCTGCACCACCATGCCCGGCTAATATTTTCTATATATTTTTAGTTGGCCAATTAATTTCTTTCTATTTTTATTAGAGATGGGGGCTCGCTCTTGCTCAGGTTGGTTTCGAACTCCTGACCTTGAGCGATCTGCCCGGCGTACTTTTGTAATTTTAGGGTCCTTTGTAATTCTTGAATCTAGAGCTGTTTTTCTTCTAGCATCCCATTGACAATGTGTGAGCTCATCAAAATTATAAGACAAGTTCTAAAGAGCTGGTAAGAGGAAAAGCAGGAAGGCACAAATCTGGTGGTACAGAGGTGACACCAGAGACTGGGAATGAGGTGGGGTGACTGAATCAGTTATCTGCTGCTGTGTAACAAACCACTCCAAGTTAGTGGCTTGAAGTAGCATAGCAATAGCCAGTTTGCCCACAGATCTGCACTTGGGGAGGGCTCTGGTAAGATCAGCTCATCTATTCCATGTGGTGTTATTTGGGGCTGCTCCACTGGGGGTGGGAGGATCCACTTTCAAGATGGCTCACTGGCTGGCAAGAAGGTGCTGGCTCAGCTAAAAGCTCAGCCAGGGCCCTCAGTTCCACTCCAAGGTGACTTCAGCTTGCAGGTAGCATGATGGTTAGGTTCCAACGGTGAGCATCCCAAGACAGGAAATGGGGCTGCCAGTTTTAAAAGGTTTGGGTCTAGAAATTGACAGTGCCATTTCCACTGTATTCTACTGGTCAAGCAATCATAACGCTCCAAGATTCAAGGAGAATGGACATAGGCCTTACCCCTCAATATAGGTGTCAAGGAATTCTGAAGCCATGTTTTAAAACCACCACAGTGAACTTAAGAGCGTGGACAAAAGTTTGAGTGGGTAGGAATAAGTATATTTATTGACTAGCACTGGGAATAGGGGAAACAATAATTTATGGAGCCAGGGTGTACAAACAAGATTGGAGATTGAGAAAAATGCAAGGTCAAATCCTAGGAAAGGCAGGCTTCAGACGGCCATTCAGCCAGGAGGCTGGGTATATGGAGGTCAGCTGAGAAGCAGGGGTCAAGAAAAAGGGCATGCAGGCAGAAGTTGGGAAAGAGGTTGGCATGGTGGCTGGTGCCAGTAATCCCAGCTACTCAGGAGGCTGAGGCAAGAGGATGGATTGAACCCAGGAGTTTGAGACCAGCCTGGGCAACACAGTGAGACACTGTCTTTAAAAAGGAAACGCAAGAAAACAAGGCAATGCCAGAAAGGAAGCCAGAAATTGTAGTCCAGATCTAAGAAACAGGAATTAGATAGAGGCAAGTCAAGGAGATAGAAAAACAGACAAGACTTCAACACTGAGGCAGTGTGTGGAAAGCCTATGCTGCATACGCTAGGCTGTGCTGCTGTGAGATCTCAGGGCACCTCTCCTGAGCATCAGCAAGGTAGGTAGGCAGCCAATGAAGTGACCTTATAACACACCATATGCAATATGAGTTAGGCAAAGACTCCACACACCTGAACTGCAGTTATTGCAATTTGGATTTTATTAAAGTTGTTTCTGAATATTACCTTTCATCTTTAGTTTTTCCTATTTGATTTTGCTTTAGTGTTTGCAGAAATTTTCATGTATCAAATCCTTTGCCATGAATGAGAGCACCAAATAACTTACATTAATATTAAATCGACTGATTCTTTTACAGTAGTAAGAAAAGTCAGTAAAAGATTTATAGAATCCAAGTACTAAAACACCAAGATCTCCCTTCAAGTGAGCCAAAGCTTCCTTACAGATCGTCCGTACCCAATGTTTTTCACTTTACCATTAACACAGAAATAATTAAGAACACTGACACAATTTTCTTGCTCGTTCAGCCTGAAAATGTGGTTTTCTTGTGGTGTGGTTAATAAAAAACCCCAGAAACTGGAAGGAAAATAAGTCACTGTGAATGATTAGCTTACAAGGTTTTTTGTAATCATTACTTAACCAGTTTTTCCCTTTACCTAGACTTTAAACAGCTATAAAAATGTAGGAAAAATAATATGCATAATAAAATAAATATCTGAGGGCCTACTGTAGTAGGCAATGAACACATTTCATTCAATATCCACAATATCATGTGAGTATTATAACCATTTTACAAATAAGGAAACAGGCTCAGGGGGTTAAACGACAGGTGCCCAAAGTCACACAGGTGACTGAACTGGGATTTATGTTCAAGTCAATGCTAACCAAGCCTATGCTTTATTATGCTGCTCTGGCTTCCTTAAGCCCTTCAACTTGAGATTCTTACTGTTTTAGCTTAATCTTCTAATTCTAAATTTATACTTTTAAGTCTGCAAAACTACTGCATAATAAAAGAACCTAAAATTATTCTCAATCTACCTGCAAAAACAGGAAGTGCAACAGAGTATTAGAAAACTCTTCAGGTAATCATAACATTCCATACATAAAATTATGGCTAACTCTAATTCATTGGTAATGATTGCTAGCGATCAAAAACACACAAGTAATTATAATTGGCTCATTTTCTTCTTGTCATCTGTCAATCTCAGAAATGAAGGCAAAAAAGGACAATTTCTTATTGTGAAATTTGCTCATTAAATTTATAGTATGCACTTAGTGGGATGCCAAAAGAGGCTCTGGTTTTAAAATCTTACCACCAGCCTTTTGATTGCATTTTAAAAGTGCACATTTAGTTGTTTTTAAGTGTCTAAATCTGATGAGATGGTAGGGCTCACAGGGGGATGGCTTTATTGACAGTCTATTTAGTGTCTTAGAATTATCCATGTCTAAGAGGGTAACTTTTACCACACCACTGAATGAGATGAGTTCCAGTGAGAGTGGATTTATTTTACGTGTAACTAACTAAAACCTAAACCTATGCAATCTGGATATTTAACAACATCTCATTGTCTGCTGGGGACTTAAATATTTGAGTGAAGTTAATATCTAGTTGTTTCTCATTCAAGTTCTCACTGAAATGTGAGAGTTTTTTTCCCCTTTGGGTCCAGTCCTAAAAAAACTAGATTTTCATACTTCAGAAGCAGAAAGGGT